ACAATGTGTTTGATATAAGCAGTTTCCAAAATAGACTATGCATACTTTAATGACCAATATGATCTATAGTTGACAAAAAGATAGTGGTCGACACATAAAAAACAAATACTTATCCACTAAATAAGTTGTCGTTAGATTAGGTAACAATTACAAAATTCACCATAAATATGGGTCTTGCAGTTTCCAAAATAAATTCCTAAATGTTGTCTTCTACAACCAACATGGGTCTTTGCAATTTCCAAAATTAGTACATAAACACCAAAAGACAACTAAATCAACGACCAAAAGACAACAACATATACCAAAACATCCAACAATATTCCCTTATACTTAAAGCACTAAAGTGCAACAACCAATAGAATCATCATAACCAGAACTTTCAGCATGGAATTTTGTTGTATGGAAGGTTTCAATTTGTTGTTAAGCATCATCACAACTTCCTTCTCCTTTGTTACCTTATTTTCAATCTTGTCAACCACTGGCTTTTCTTTTGAAAGGAGAAACTTCAACTCCACAACCTTCTTCCTAAGGCTGATTAGCTCAACATATTTCTCCTTTGAATCTAACTGTTGCTTCATTGTTCTGATAAGTTTCTTGTAGTACTCCTCATATATCTCATCATCTTTCTAGAAGAAGTAATCATAGCTTTTTAATATTGTCTGAAATATACACCAAAATATACACCATTGTCAAATAGTATGAGATCTTAGAGTTAGATACAATAAATAAACGATACAAACAAAGGGATCCTACAAACAAATTATTCCTTTTAACATTTTCACAATAATCAACTACATTACACTATTAGGGTTTTCACATGCTTATCTAAACATCATAAATCCTACAAATCGTACGATTTTTGAACATTACTAGAAATTGTAACCATGATAACTTACCAAACTGTTTCTATAGTTCTAGAACCGCCTTCATGGGTTGTGATATTTCCAGCTCGTCCGTTCCTTCGCCGACTTCTCACATCTACAAGTCTTCAACTCATCTAACTTCCTAAAGTTACCGATCTGCATGGGAGGGTTTTTGGAACAAAAAATCGAGGATCGAGACATTGCTTTGGTTCTTTGGTTAAAAGAAGCTTACACGAAAATGGAAAGAAAGAAGGTAAGGGTGTTCTATATACGGGTGTTAAGGTTTTTGTATAAGGGGGAGTTGATGTGGAGTCAACGTGGAAATAACGTGACAAATTCCCATTAGCTTACCGTACACATCGGATCCCCGATAGGATGAGAAACCGGGAAACCTTCTAAAATCGGTCACATGGTGTAATCGACATCTACAGTAAAATATTAATAGTCAATTGTGCAAAAAATTAATATAGTTGGTCACATCGGACCGAACGAAAAAGTTACTTGTATTACAATAGCATTTTCCCATGATATTTAGAACGATACATCTTTTCCCAATGATTTCGTTCCAAAGCTCACTGAGTTTTGGTACTTCCAAATCGTCCACAAAGTTACTGATAAAATAGTTTCAACATCTTTTTTATGTTGCGAGAACTGTGAGGAATCCATCCAGTAAAAACATGCAATGATTGTGCATTTGGGAGGTCCACATTGCAACAAGAAGAAACCCGATTTCACAACGGGTCATATTATGGACAAACAAATCTATATAATTAGACTTATTTTTAAGTAAATGATGATAAATTATTACTATATTATTACTAAGTTTATTAATATTAATAATTTTAAACTTATTTTTTTATTCACGTAAAAAACAACAATAATATTGTTTTTATTATATAATAATATAAATAGTCCATACAAATTATTATAATTTTTTTTATTAAAATAGTCAAACGAATTAATAACATTTATACTTTTTGTTAGTTGTATGCAACTTTAGTTATTAATTATTTTTTCTCGTGTAACATAAACGACAAATAAACTAATTTTAATTTGGATAATTGAATTGTTTAGCTTAAATATACAAAGTTACTGATTAAATATAGATTTTAAATATATTTTTATTAAAACATAAGTTATTCAAAATAATCTTTAGAAGTAAAACCTTTTAAGGAGTTTTAAGATTAAATAAATAAATATAATAATCATTATTGATGTTTCTTTTAAATATATTAATAGTTGTAACTAATATTATTATGATTACTATTTTGTTAGTTTCTTGTTTAAGAAAAAAAAAACATAGACTGTGTTGTATATAATAAACGAAAAAGATATTTAAGAAAAATACGATTGTTCAGTATATTTAAATAATTTGAAATTTTGTCTATGACAATTTTTTTTAATAAAATATTAACATTATAATGTATTATATAATAAAAAAATAATAAAAACAATAGGGGATAGGATCTAAACATAAAAGGGTATATGTATAGATTTAACCTTAAAGAACCCTTATGAATATAAAACTAATAGGAGATAGAATCTTAAATCTTTAATATTAACAAAAATTGTATACTTTGGTTTTCTTTCACGTCTGGATTGATACACAAAGAAAAAAAAGACAACAAAATTTTATCTCATGTTTCTCATTTTTTATGCTTACCAAGCAAAGAAAGAAAAAAAGTCTCTTCCTAACAAAAATAAAAAATGGAGTTTTTATATTTTTTTATTTTTGTATTGCAGTAAAAAAAAAGTAGTTTTTATATTTTGGAATTAATATATAAAAGAGAGAGAAAGAGAGAAAAAAAATAGAGAAAGAAAGAAACTTAATTTTTTTTTAGAACGGCACAAATTTTATTAAAAAAGTAGCAAGAAGCTAGAGGAAAGAAAACATCACAACAAATTACAAGCTAAGAGAAGATTATAAAGGCAAGAGGTCCAACTAATTTTAACTTTTCTAAGCCTACTAGAAATCCAAAAGAAAGATCTATCAATCACATCATCTAAAATGAGAGACTTCTTGGGTTGAGCCGTACAAAAAATGGAGGAGTTACGAAAATTCCAAAGACACCATAAGGTAGTGATGATAACAGTGTCAAAAGCTTGTCGCTGCCCTTTTTTGAGGGAAAGAGAATCAGACCACGAGAGAAGGGAATCAATAGAGGATAACCGAGGAAGCTGAACATCCCACCAAATAGCTAACCGAGTCCATAAGTCAATCAACTGATTGCAATGGAGAAAAAGATGATCAATAGATTCAACAGTATTAGAGCAGACAGGGCAGAGAATGGAGTCCATAGTAATCCCATGGAGCGAAAGATTTTCCCTAGTCTGAAGGCTTCTAGACTACAATCTCCAAATAAATATATTCAGCTTGATAGGCACTCAATTGTTCCAACGAGTTTCAGGACCCCCTGAATGTAACATATGATTATCCAAAAAAAGCTCGAAGAGAAGAAACAATAAAAGAATCAGAGACATCAATAGTCCATCACAAACGGTCAGTTATGGATTGAAGAAGAACTCCCTGCATTATGGAGATAAAAGTATTCAATTGGGCTCCTCAATACCCCCTCTAAGAGGACGCCTAAGACAATCTAAGTTCCAACCAAGAAGCACCCTATCTCTGACTGATATGGATTTATGAAGATCAAGAGCATAAATCCTATGAAAAGAAGCAGCCAAATGGGTATCCCCCTTCCAAACATCGTGCCAAAAAGAAGTTTTATTCCCATCACCAACTCTAATAGGACTAAGAGGCCTAAGATCGAGATCAGGATTATGAAGATGTGAAAGCATCTGAATAACACCATTCCAAGGACCAATTGAACCTCTTCTATGAGAGAAAGAGCTACAACCACCATCCCGACCATAAATAGCCTTAACAACTTTAACCCATATCAAATCCGAATTATGAAAGAATCTCCAACGCCTTTTATAGGGCATAGCCCAATTAAAGGAGTACAGACTACCACCACCAAGACCCCCATTCTTTATTTGGGCTAAGACCCTATCCCAGCAAACCCAATGCATGCGTCGCTCACCCTTGTCAGCACCCCAAAAAAACCTAGCTCGAAGAGACTCCAAGGTGTTGACAACGGAGATAGGGACCATAAAGATAGACATCCAATAGCTTCCAAGACTTCCAAGAACCGATTTGATCACAGTTAGGCGTCCTCCAGAAGAAAGACAATTAGCTTTCCAGCCTGAGAGCTTCGACTAAAATCGATCAACTACTGAAGACCAAGCAGTGATCCGAGACATGTTGTGGCCAATAGGAACTCCAAGATGAATAAAAGGACAAGAATCAGGAGTACACCCAACTTTACGTGCCGCCACCTCAACCTTGTCGCAGGCCACGTTGAATTTGAAATTCATCAATAGGGGACTCGTTAACAAGAACCGAAGCCCTAGCAGATCTAAGAAGCTCCATGATCCAGTCACACCACAGATTGCCAAAGCCCATAATGTGCATAATCTCCAAAAGATACTCCCACGATACGGAATCAAAAGCCTTCTCAAAATCCACTTTGAAAATCATGAGAGGATTATTCAAGGACTTAATCCAAGCCACAACCTCATTTAGAAGAAATGGACCATCCAAGATTTGTCTACCTTTGACGAAGGCAGACTCCTCCAGACTAACAATAGAACCAATAACCTCCGCCAGCCTATTAGCT